TGTTTCTTCATAAGTATTTAAAAATTAAAATAAAAGATACAAATAAAGTGTTAATTTGTTTATCTCTTATGGGTAATTTAATGAATTTACCTTTTTTTATAAAAAAAAGGTGTAATTATAAAAAATGAAGTCTTTTGATTATTCGCTATTAAGGTTTTATCCAAGGGATTAAATAGCCAGTGTGATCATGCGGATGCATGAATCATTTGACAAGTTTATAATAAAAGAAAGGAAGAGGAAAACATAAGGAGAGATTATAGGCAAGCGTGGGGACAGAGTTGCCTCACACGCTTGTCAGCTCCGAAGAATCAAAGGCGGTTTGCAAAATGAATTTCCCCCAATCAACGGCCAAGATTCATCTTCGAGATCGAACGGCTAGGAACTTCTCAAAGGCCCAAGATTAGGGTTTATAAGAGTGTGGCCTCTTAGTTTCCTGTCTGTCATAACTCTCTGAGGCGGCACGAGACGTATCTCTGCCGTTGGAGGTAAACCACTCTAAGATCCATGGGGATTGCTTACTTTCTCCGCATTTTTTGTTGATTCAATTGTTTAAAATGTTTTACTGGTTCTTAATCAGATCGATTCCTAGGGGCTCTCTCTCTCTCTCTCTCTCTATATATATATATATATATATTGTTTGTAATTGTGGTATGATCTAGTTCACATAGCCTTTACTATCTGGTTGATTTGTTGCGAATTTACTATGTATTTGTGAGAATTATATTTCATCGAAAAATTCATTTGTTAGGTTATTTATAGCTTTATGTGTGACTTGCGGTATGAGTTTGCCTGCTTCGAGCTTTGATATCTGTTGTTTGCTTGGTCCATTTGCCAGAGATTTAGTTACAAAGATCGGTTGATAAGAAATCTCTCTCTGTTTTTTCTTTTTTGTTGGTTTTCGGGAGTGGCGATACAATTTAGCCTGCTACAGGCTTTTGATATATGGAGTTTTGTTTTATTGACTCGTTCTCTTCTTTTGAGTAAGGTTTATAAATTCAGGTCCTAGGTAATTTTTGAGTGATTGGTTGTACTGTTTAGCTTAAAGTTTTAATATCTAGTTTAACGATGTTTGGTTTTTGCACTGTTAAGAGGTTTAGTGAAGAAGTGATCAGTTAGAGGACCGATTTGTTGCCTCTCGATCGGATCTGTACTCAATTACCCAGAGGATACGTATTTTGATTGCTGGGATAATTTGTGTGAAATAACTACGTAGTTATTGGTGGAACTAGTGCATGTTTATTCTCTATTTTTTCTATATATGTACGGATATAGTGGTGTTATGTGTCATTAGAGTTGAAGAGGCTCAGATCTTAATGTGAAATATCGGTTTCTTTTGATATGTGTTGTTGATTTGGCTTTTGGCATTTGATAATATATGGGCTGGGTTCCTTTTATCTGCTTACCAGACGATCAGATAAAATATATCTACTGCTTCATATTAACTTGAACTGGGAGACGATCAGATCAAATATATCTACTGCATCATATTAACTTGAACTGGGAGACGATCAGATCAAATATATCAGGCATGAACTGCTTCATATTAACTTGAACTGGGACGTTTGGTTTGTTTAGGATAATTTACTATATGTGAATATTTTCCGATGCAGGTTGGTTCCTAAGGATATAGCATATTTCCATGGATGATGTGTTATTTTACATTTGATGCATTCCTTGGTTTTGCCTTTTATGTTTTTCAGTTTGGAGATTTAATTTGAAATAGATTTTATGGTTCCCATGGATATAGCATTTGCTATTTTACATTTGATGTATTCTTTGGTTTTCCCTTTTTTTGATTAGTTTCTCAGTTTTTTGATGAATTTTTGTCATGTGGTTTTGGTAGATTTGGTGCTTGTGTTTTTTTTTCCATATCAAACTTTTCTCATTATATGGATTTTCTCTATTTTATTGGTTGCTGTATATAGACTTTTTCTGTTTCTTGCTGTGAATAGTATTATGATTGCTGATGAATTTAACTTTTATTCTGTTTATTTATTTTTATTTTTATTTTTCTTTGCCTTCGTTTTGCAGTTTTGGTGCTTGTGAATGTTGTTTGCTACAAGTGTATAATTATTTTTATCTATAGCTGCAGTTCCATTGATTTTTTTTTTGAGGGACAAGGCTCTGATGATGGTGATATAAGATTTTATTGTTTAATTCTCAAAAAAAAAAAAGAGATGTTTTCTAAGTAACTCGAGTAAAAATATTGCTCAGAATGATCAAGAAGGATCTAGTAGTTCCAAGACTATGGTATTCCCAGCCTATCATTGTCTATTAGTTGATGAGTGGTGCTATAGGGAGAGAAGCACCTATTTCCATGTTCTGGTTGGTACTGCTCTTTCTCCAAAATGTTGTTAAGCGCTGCGGTGTCATAAATCTGATGGAAGTAGAAACAGTTATTTATTTTGAAGTATTATGAGATACGTAACTATCATTTCATTGTGGCTTGGCAAGGAATGCTATAACTTGTTTTTTCTTTTTTTCTCTTGAATTTTATTTTGTCAAAGCTCTTAAGGTAAGAAAAGACAAATGGCATTGCCATTGTCACTAGATTGTTGTAGTTAATAATGATTCAGTTCTGGCTGGTTGTTTATATGACCATGATCTATTTACAGAGGGTTTATACTTGCAGATTTGTAATGAACACTTTCATTTTGTTTTATTACAAAGTGGCATGATTTTGATGTTTGTTTCTAACGCTTGTCTACCTGGGGGCTGAGTTTATTTTTTGTTTGCAAATTGATGTCGTCTGGGTTTTAGTGCATCTCATGCTATGCTCAAATTTTTTTATGTGGATCTGTTTGTTTTCATCATAGAGACTGCTTAATGGTTTCTACCTGTCTCTTAGTACTTCCACTAGCAGTTACATTATTCTTTTGGATCATGCTTATTTTTGTTTATCTGGATTCTGTTCTCCTTATAAAAATTTTCCATCATGTGATGTTAAACTTTTATGCATAAGATTCATCGACCTCGCACCTTTCTCATTGATCCAAGATATCTATTTCATTCTTATTTTGGTGTAGACAGTTAGTGAAATGTTCAGTTATGTTGCGTATATTCATTATGTGATACAATTTGTGTCATTGGTTTGCTGAAGCATTGTTATTGTTTCACACTTAGCCTATGCAGTGAAAAGGAATATGCATACCCTTTTACCCAGAAAGTACTTAATAAGCACTTCAATGTATTCAGTTATGTTCCTCTCTGGGTAGTTCTGGGTAGTTCATTAGGGACTGCTATATGTAATGCTACAGAAAAACTTGCTGAGATGCTGGGTCTCTTGCTAATTGGACCAATTAGATTACTGGTTGAAAACCTTCATTCATGCTGTGGGACCAGTATCGCCATTTTAAAAAGAAACAATTTTATTTGCTTATCATAGGGGTTTGGTGTAATTCATCCTGCACTTTTCCTTCCAACAAACTCCAAATTTCTGTATAGTGTTATGCCGGCATTCTTTTTGTTTGCACTTTCTTTTGGTAGTTGTTACTTGTGTGTTCTATTTATTGGGCGCTACTGGGGTTACTTTCTGTGGTGGTGGTTTCTTGCTTCAGCTATTGTTGTCCCAGTGATGTTCCATATGTGCTCTTTTTCTATTGCTGTCAATTTTCCTGTGCATCCAAAAAGAAAGTACTAATGTTCTGTTTCTTTTGCAGGAACTTTTCTGTTGGAATTCTTTGTGTAGGGCGAACTTGAAAACTAGTCAAAATGGTAAATATTATGTTGTGGTTATTGTAATTTTGAGCACCATCCTCTTTCGTAAAATTTCTTAACCTTTTGGCTGTATTGTTAAAACAGGTGAAGTTTACAGCAGAAGAGCTCCGCCGCATAATGGACCTGAAGCATAATATTCGTAACATGTCGGTCATTGCGCATGTGGATCATGGTATGCATTCCACTTCACCAGTCTTAAAGTCACGATTTCCTTGATGAACATTGGTTAAAGCTTAATCCCATATAAAACCTTTGCATTGTATGCCTAACGCCTTTAATGCTTGAATCTCAAAACGCCTTAAATGCTTGAATCTCCATTCTCTAAGACAGATGGCAGAGATGAACTGTTTTTCCGTGGTGTATCTCATCACGAGAACTATGTTCCTTCTCCTATGTTTGGAATTGAAAGTCGACAATTGATACTCATCTCTTTATTGTGTAATATCTTCAGGATTTTGTATGGTATTTTCTCCTGGTTTTATGACTGTCACCATTATCAATTTGGGATTTGGCCGATATCTCAATTGGCATGTGCGTATAAATTTGTAAAAAGTGAACTGCTGCTTCCTCACCCAAATTTTTGTGTCTATGGATATCAAAAGCACGAAATGGTGGCACTTTCATCTTTTATCAAAATGGGCACTTTTGAAAACAACACGATAAAAACAGCGGATTGCAATTTGAGAATTTATCTGTACGTCTTTTATTCAAAGAGAAAATCACAGTTTTCTTATCTGGTTACTGCTCTTGTCTCGTATTTTACTTGTGTTGTCATTGGTGGGATGTATTAAAGTATGTTTTAGTTTTTGAATGTACTTAAAACCTGAAAAGTTGCAGTTATTAAATACTAACTTTATTTTTTTGATTCTGTTGCACTTGTGTCTTTTGTCTTAATTTTTTGTTGCATTTGTTCTGACTATTGGTAGTATCTACTGTTTGTCTTGATTAGGCTCAATTTTGTTTGGGAGTTGGTAGCAATGAAAATTATTTGCTGTAAGAGTCAATGTTTCATAGTTTGTAGTATTTTGCCCTAATTTTGTTTTTGATTGTAAATTATTGAGTTATTATTGAACAATGATGATTTTTAGTGGTTTTTAATAGAGGTCTTAAGGAACTGAGTTTGCTTGACATATTGTAGTGCGTATCATAGCTATAAAAGCTCAAACTTGTTCTACTGTTTCTAGTACTTATTATTTGCTCCATCTAAAAACTCTATTTTGTCTCACAGTTTGTATTACTTTGTCTTAAATTGATTTTTGAATGTAAATTTGTTACACCTTTTTGCGGAGTCGGTCTCATTGGCTCAGTTCTTGAATATTAATATTTTCGGAAGTCAAATGTGTTCTTGATAAGTTTTATTGTAATCCCTCTCTCAGGTAAATCCACACTCACTGACAGTCTCGTGGCTGCTGCCGGTATTATTGCACAAGAGGTTGCTGGAGATGTGAGGATGACTGATACCCGTGCAGATGAGGCGGAACGTGGTATCACCATCAAGTCCACCGGTATCTCCCTCTACTACGAAATGACCGAAGAATCACTCAAGAGCTTCAAGGGGGAAAGAAATGGCAATGAGTACCTCATCAATCTTATTGATTCACCAGGGCACGTCGACTTCTCCTCTGAGGTTACTGCCGCCCTTCGAATCACTGATGGTGCTCTTGTTGTGGTTGATTGTATTGAGGGTGTTTGTGTCCAAACTGAAACAGTGCTTAGACAAGCACTTGGTGAGAGGATCAGGCCAGTTCTCACTGTGAACAAGATGGACCGATGCTTTCTTGAGCTCCAAGTTGATGGGGAGGAGGCCTACCAAACTTTCCAAAAGGTGATTGAGAATGCTAATGTGATCATGGCCACTTATGAAGACCCACTTCTTGGAGATGTTCAGGTATACCCTGAAAAGGGTACAGTTGCCTTTTCAGCTGGTCTTCATGGTTGGGCCTTCACTTTGACCAATTTTGCTAAGATGTATGCCTCCAAGTTTGGTGTTGATGAGGCTAAGATGATGGAGAGGCTTTGGGGTGAGAACTACTTCGACCCTGCCACCAAGAAGTGGACCGGCAAGAACACTGGATCCCCCACTTGCAAGAGGGGTTTCGTTCAGTTTTGTTATGAACCGATTAAGCAAATAATCAACACATGCATGAATGACCAGAAAACTAAGCTTTGGCCTATGCTTCAAAAGCTTGGGGTCTCAATGAAGGCTGATGAGAAGGAACTTGTGGGCAAGGCCCTAATGAAGAGGGTCATGCAAACATGGCTTCCTGCGAGCGAAGCTTTGTTGGAGATGATGGTATTCCATCTCCCTTCCCCTGCAAAGGCCCAAAGATATCGTGTTGAGAACCTTTATGAGGGTCCACTTGATGATGTTTATGCAAATGCTATTAGGAACTGTGATCCAGAGGGCCCTCTCATGCTCTATGTGTCTAAGATGATTCCTGCCTCTGATAAGGGGCGATTCTTTGCTTTTGGCCGTGTCTTCGCGGGCAAGGTCTCAACTGGGCTCAAGGTCCGAATCATGGGCCCCAACTATGTGCCTGGCCAGAAGAAGGACCTGTATGTGAAGAGCGTTCAGAGGACAGTTATTTGGATGGGAAAAAAGCAAGAGTCGGTCGAAGATGTGCCCTGCGGTAACACAGTTGCCTTGGTTGGGCTGGATCAATTCATCACTAAGAATGCGACCATAACCAATGAGACTGAGGTTGATGCCCACCCAATCCGGGCCATGAAGTTCTCTGTGTCCCCTGTTGTTCGTGTTGCTGTTCAGTGCAAGGTGGCCTCTGATCTTCCTAAGCTTGTTGAAGGGCTCAAGCGTTTGGCGAAGTCTGATCCTATGGTGATTTGCACGATTGAAGAGTCTGGGGAGCACATCATTGCTGGTGCAGGTGAGCTCCATCTCGAGATTTGCCTCAAGGACTTGCAAGAAGACTTCATGGGTGGAGCTGAGATCAATGTTTCACCTCCTGTGGTCTCATTTAGAGAGACTGTCAAGGATAAATCATGCCGAACTGTTATGAGCAAGTCCCCCAACAAGCACAACAGGCTCTACATGGAAGCCAGGCCATTGGAAGAGGGGCTTCCTGAGGCCATTGATGAGGGTCGCGTGGGCCCAAGAGATGACCCCAAGGTTAGATCCAAGATTTTGTCCGAGGAATTTGGGTGGGATAAGGACCTTGCGAGGAAGATTTGGTGTTTTGGACCCGAGACCACTGGCCCCAACATGGTGGTGGACATGTGTAAGGGAGTTCAATACCTCAATGAAATCAAGGACTCAGTGGCTGCTGGTTTTCAATGGGCTTCAAAAGAAGGAGCCTTAGCTGAAGAGAACATGAGAGGCATATGCTTCGAGGTTTGTGATGTTGTTCTTCACGCCGATGCCATTCATAGGGGTGGTGGCCAGATTATCCCCACTGCTCGTAGGGTCATCTATGCTTCCCAATTGACTGCAACACCGAGGATGCTGGAGCCCATCTACTTGGTCGAAATTCAGGCACCTGAGCAAGCTCTGGGTGGTATCTATGGGGTTTTGAATAAGAATAGAGGGCATGTTTTTGAAGAAATGCAAAGGCCAGGGACTCCTCTATATAACATCAAAGCTTACTTGCCTGTCGTTGAGTCGTTTGGTTTTTCGAGCACTCTCAGGGCTGCAACTTCAGGGCAGGCTTTCCCTCAGTGCGTGTTTGATCACTGGGAGATGATGAATTCCGACCCATTCGATCCAACCTCTGAAGCATTCAGAATAGTAACTGAGGTTCGAAAGAGGAAGGGGCTCAAAGAACAGATTACTCCTCTCTCTGACTATGAAGACAAGCTGTGAGCAGGGAACTGGGTCCTCTCTTTCTCTCTATAGTATGATTTCTCTATTCTCGTGTCTATGGGTAAGTCTTTTTTCCCGTGAGATACTATTTTTCATGATGTTTTAGATTTTTCTTGGGTTTTGGTCATTGGAATTTCTATATGGAGTCTAAATTTTGCAGTGAGCTACTTTTAATTGGTTTGTTTAAGGGGATGCTTCAAATCGGAACATGAATATGTGATGTTTGAGCAACAATTGTTACGTGTTAAGTTGTTCGACTACTAATGCCTAAAAATCATGGGTATGTTAGTTGAATGTTTTGTGCCCTTTCCTGCTCTCTTTTGATTTGACTTGTAGAAATGTTTTGTGCCCTATCCTACTCTCTTTTGATCTGACTTGTACAAAAAGGAAAACTGCTTGTGGTGCGGTGAATTTGTTTATGGTTTGAGAATATGATTTTTAACCCCTTATTGGTGTGATAAAAAATTCTCACAAAAGTAACTATAATCGTGTTGGAGTAGTGTAGGCAAAGGACACAGGTGAATGAGAATCCACTTTCGAGGTATCTTCTTAAAGGAAAAATGAATTAATTTTGAGTTCTTGAACACTTTTAAGAGTGCCCCCCCCTTCTCTTAATGGTGAAGAGGCTTTACATTGTTGCAATGGGAACTTAATTTTAATGGATTTTCCCTTCTTTTTTTTTTGGCTCCTAATTTTAGCTGGGGAAAGGGCATTGGTCATTGTTGGCCGAAAAGCTCCCTTCATGAGAAATATTTGCATCTTTGTCTATAGATTTTTTAAAATTTTAATCAATTAATTATTTTTTTAATTATTTACTTTCTTTTATTTGCTAATTTTCCAAATTCAGGAACAATTTTTATGAAATCGGTTTTCCCCAAAATACCCAAAATATAAGCATGTGAAAGTATCACAAATCCTCGTATCAAACATGGTTGTAAATTTGAACAAAAGTACCGCAAATCCTCACATCAAGCATGGGTGAAAATTGGAACAAAAGTACCACAAATCCTCGTATCAAACATGGTTGAAAATTGGAACAAAAGGACCACCAAACCATAAAAGCTTTGCTAAAATGGTGATAATTGTGGGTTTTCCTTTTCTTAGACAAATGATTGGTGTTAGGATTAAAAAGAGGAGCTGTAGATCTGGAGATTTAGAAGGTTTTGGCAGGTGTGCCGTAGAGAGAACCCCACTGAAAAGGCTGGATTTATGTCTGCAAGACTGCATGAGATGAGCTCCTTAGTTTGAGAGGAAGTAGGCTTGTTTCTAGAGAGAGATAAAGGCAGGTTTTTAGATGGATTATTTGAGTAGTCTAGGGGTGGCAACGGGTCGACCTGGACTTGGACCTGAGAATATAGTGTGGGACTTGGATCCGACCCAAAAGTTACAATATCTATGGTACATATATTGGGAACCAAAAAATATTATTGGACTTGGACCCAACCAGATCCAGACCAGAATAATGTTTGGGTTCAAGATATGGACTGTGACTCGAACTATAGGGTCCAATTTTTGAACCCATACCTAGATGCGGATTGGGTCTACCCCTTAGGTCCCAGGTCGGGGCTGGGGCCATTGCCACCTCTATTTATTTGAAGCGGGTTGGATTTTTAATGGTGCCTCTTCCTTATTGGATCTCATTGATTTCCTTGTGATTTGTCTATGTAGCATAAAAATAAAAACAAAGAACTCTTCACAAAAAGCTTAGAATCTTCATAATGCCATTTTATGAAATTTTCTAAGAGCAATGTCAGTGCTTGATTACTGCTCTACATTATTTTTTGAAAGAAAAATTTCCGCTCTACATTAGAAGAAAGTTGCAACAGATGGGGTTTAGAGAGAGAGAGTGTGTGGAAGAGGGGGGAGAGAGAGAGAGTGATAGAGATTTTTAGGCTTCACTACCATGGGAGATTGCATAGAAAAAAAGGGGGGGATTGGGGAATGGGAAGTCGTAGAGAGCATAAGAGCGCAGGTTCGAGTCTTCAGAGCGGCCACTTTGGGGATAAGTCAAAAGTTTGAGTCGTTTTCAGCCCACGTCTCTCGAGACTCAGCTTAGGTGGGACCAACACTGGGTTAACAACCCTTTTGAGAGGTCCTAGAAAGGAAAAATGAAGAAAAATGTTGAGTCCTTTATGATTTTTGAGAGCGCACCCATTCCCTCTCATAATTGGTGCAATCTGAATCGTCCAATTATTGGATGTTGCATACGTGTGGGGACACACTTATTGTGGTGCACTCCCTGGCACACCAATTACTTTTCTATTTTCTAGATGTATGAGGTTGAAGGATTTAATAACAAATTTGGGCTAGGAATTATGATCTATATTGAAATTTAGCACCACGGGGTGGCTACGAGATGTAACCACTTATACTAGTTCAAGGTTTCCACATCTAAATGTCTTCTCTTTAGATCTCTTTTTCCCAAATCTAAATGTTTTTTTTGGGTCAAATCTAGGGTTGGCAATTGGGTCGAGTCAACGTAATGGGGTCTAGGTCTTGACCTATACAAGGGACCTCATGGGTCGGTATGGGTCCATTTGACTTTGACATGACCGGATCGGATCTGGGTCTGTGTCCAACTTGGATCCTATCGGTTTGCGTCGTGGCCAACCCGACCCAAATATATTAATACAAATTACATGTAAATAAATTTATAATTTTATTATAACATTTTTTTTATTTATAAATCTGGACTTGAGTTGACCCAGTGAGTCGGGTCTGGGTATAACTCAGACCTAGTGGGGCCAGGTTACTCCTACTGAAATCTTCTTTTTTAGATTTGGTACGTGGAAATAAATAGATATACAACTGTTCGTGTGGCTCATGGATGCCCACATGTTTAAAAAGTTCAAAAAACCCCTTGACCTCTTTCATTCTTTTTTTTGAGCTTTTTCTTTTTCCCAAATTGTCATTTTCTTGTCTACTTATTCCCCAGAGTCCCAATTGCTGGCCTTTTTAATACCCTTTTTTCTCTCTCTCTCTCTCGCTCCCTTTCTCCTCATAATTCCCCCCTCCCGCCCCCCTTCCTCACGCCCTTCGTCTCTCTATCCCATGAGAGAGAGAGAGTAATGGTTTATGGGTGAGAGAGAAATGGCTATGGCGGATACATAAAATAAAGGAAAAGTTTATAAAAGGATGCAACCTTATAATGTAGAACTACGGATGCACTTCAAAAATCCATCAAAAAACGTAGTTTTAATGTTGAAAAACCTTTTGATTGATCATTTCGACATCGAGATGTATGACTATGAAAAATAAAAAGATTTTAAATCTCAGAAATATTGCATTTTACAACATATTATCTATACCGTTCATTTTTAAGATTTTCACATGTTTATAGATCTACTTGATTTTAACCGTTTTTGAAATTTAAAATTTTATAATTAGATGTAAAAATAGATTTTGAGATAATCCTAAAAGCATTTTATGTCAAAATTATATACCATAATAAAATTTGAAGGGGCACCTTACCTCTATAGTTACGGATGCATCTGTATGCCAACTGCACCCGAAAATAAAAAGGCAATTTGAGGAAAGAAAAACCTCAAAATAGGGGAGTGACCACTTTTTAAAAAAGTATAAGGGGCTACGGGCTTCTTATAGATCCGAGGGTGTATACGGACCATAAGTTTAGATGGACGGTTTTAGGTCTTTTTTCCAAATAAATAGGATATGCCATTTAGTTTGACTTAGGGTTAAAAAAATTGTCGACCTGAATTGTCAGCACCCAATTTGGATCCGCTTTCAGGGTTCCCAAAATATATTAGGAACTGTCTAAGTTTCCCCTGGATCATTATTTTAAAAAAAAAATCAGTCATCCGCTGCATGGTGACCTGGTGAAATTGCCTAGTCCCTTTCTCGCACTTATTGTCATCATCAAATCCGCTTTCGAATTAATTGGGATCAACTACACAAGTTTTGATTTGGCATTCTGTTATGTTAAGACCAATACCTTCAGTGAGATTATAAATCTCCATAATTTTTTTTACTACTTTTAATTATATCTTTTTAGGCCTATGTCTTGTATTTTTTAAGCTTTGCAGTTGAACTAATTCGTACTTTATATAGAAGATGTTGTTTATATAGAAGATGTTGTGAAAGAATTTGCACCACACGTCCCAGCCCACTTACTTCTACTTTCTCTCATCTTTTTCGTACTATGTTTAATACTCTACCATGTTTAAAGCGCGTTATCGATAACTTTCGATTGTTAGGACCGAATTAAAATGTAACGCGTAGAGTGTACATGCACGGGAGCATACTATGCACTTGACTCCCTGGGCCAAAAAAGCATACTATGCACTTGACTCCCTGGGCCAAAAAAGCAGAGGGATTTTGTCGACGTGAAATTTTAGAATCAACTTTAAAATTATTGGATGTAATTTCCTTCCCATAAAAAATGTATGGTTTTGAGATGCTAACACTTAAAACTGATTGTCCAAAACCTAAATGCTCTCTCTTCAATTTTAAAAGGAAAGTATATATGTGGATATAATTCTTCTTCTTCTGCTTAATTTCTTTGCCAGTTTTCTTTTTCTTTAGGTTGGTCACTGAAGAAATACATCCCAAAATTTGGATCGTAAAATTATCTTAAATAGAAGTGAATAGATCAATATTCTCAAGAGCATATATATTTTTTGGTATTAACATGACTAAGCATTATTTAATTTGAATAGAGAATGTATATTAGGAGACTATTTATCTTTGTTATGAAGAGGTCACAGATACCTTTAGCTATTAAATGTTAAACTTGATGTCTTAGGTTGTGTAATATATTTCAAGATTTCTTATTTTTTTGAACTTTAAATTCCGGCAATGACACATTTATATAATGAGCAACAATAATTGTAACCTTGTTGTCCTAAAAATAAATGCCTTTATGTACTTTTCCAATTTGAATATGTCATGGGTCAAAGCCCTAAAGTAAACCAGGTATTGTCATGTGCCAATTGATTGGTCGTTTAGTGATATTGGTTCCTTTGCACTCAAGAGCATATTCTCAAGTTTGATACTCACTATTTTGCATGCGTGGCATGTGATTTACCACAAAGAAGACATGAAGCTTGAAAATGTTTGATGGGTCATGCCCAGTGTTTCAAAATCCGGTTTAGTTGGGTGGATTGCCCACCCATAGATCCGGGTCGGATAGTCGATTTAGATTAGTGTGATACAAATATACTTTAAAATTTTAAAATTGAAAACAAAATAGGGTTTCCTTTTTTACTTTTTTATTTTTAAGGAATGATACAATGAATGGACGGTTGGTAATTGAGATGGAAAGTTTAATGTATATGTCATGTTAAAA